AGATTTCCATATTTTAACCTGGGAATCCAATTTCTAATCTGCATTCCAGAAGCTTAAACAAGTGCTTCTAAATGCCCCGTCCCTAAGCCTTCTTACAGGACAGCATTTCAATCTATGTGTCAGCACCCTGTGAGGCTTGTCATGAATCACACATAGTAGTAAAGTAAAAATCACACATAGCCCTGCTAGCCTCAGGGCTGTGGCCCGTTGTTGCGGTGCCAGAGGCATCCAAACTGCCCTTAGGCGAGGATCTCCCCATGTAAACACTTAGATCCACCCCTTACCAACCCTGATTAGTGCCTCTTTTTTTTTTAAAGCAAAATATTTATTGGTACATTTTAGATATACATAACGATCACATTCATCCCAGGGAATTTGTACCACCAGTACATAATCTATCTTCATCTCGCTGCTTCTTTTTTCCATTCCCTTCCTCCCCCTCCAACCCCTCTCCCCCTCATTTACAAAAATAAAAGTTTTGTTTCCATTTTTTCCTTCTTTTTCCTTTTTTTAGTACTGGTGATCAAACCTGGGTCCTTGTGCTTGTCTGTAATCCCAGGCTCCAGAGTGCTAGGACTACAGACAGGTACCACCATGACCAGTTCATAACATTCATCATAGGGAATGTGTGTACATGCTATATCTCGCTTCTTTTTTTCCATTCCCCCTTTGCCTTTGAACCCTTTCTTCCTTCCTTACAAGAGCTTTGTTTCCATTTTCCCTTCAATTCTCTTTTCTTGTCCCTTCATTCCTTTCCCTCCCTCTTCCCTCCCTTGTTCTCCTTCTCATTTAAACATTTTCTTCCCATCTCCCACTACCTATTGTACATTTTGGTTCTTATTTCCACTTTCCGTTTCTCACACCAGAGAAACAATGCAGTACACGTGTGTCAAATTTATCTCACGTAAGAGTATGGTCTCAAGGTGCATCCGTTTATCTAGAAATGTCTCAAGCTTATTCTTTATGCAGAGTAGTACTCCACTGTATAAAAACCCCACATCTTTTCTGTTTGTCAGTTGATGTAAACGCTTTTTTGATGACAGTTCAAGAGAGGCAGGTACGCTGCAGTGACTACCTGAGACACTGGAAAGTAGCTCACTTGCCCCTGGGACTATCATTCAGCTGGCAAAACTCATAGCCCCACAAAAGCTTTACAATTCAGAAAAGGACAGGAAGAAAGTTAACATCAAGGGCCGGGGATTTAGCTCAGTGGTATCGAGCCTGCCTCGCAAGTGCAAGGTCCTGAGTTCGGTCCCTGGTACCAAAAAAAAAAAAGTTAACATCTATACTGGTTCAAAGTATGCTTTCCTAGTGCTGCATGCCCATACAGCTATATGGAAAGAGAGAAATTATCTAACAGCCAATGGATCGCCCATAAAATATCATAAGGAAGAGACCAGGGATTTAGCTCAGTGGTTCCACCGCCAGCCTCACAAGCGCAAGGTCCTGATTTCAATCCTCGGTACCACAAAAAAAATATCATAAGGAGATAAATGAACTTTTATCATTTATCTACCCTCCAAGGTGGCAGTAATCCACTGTAGAGGGCAAAAAGGAGTTGATGAAGGATCCCAAGGTAAGCGACTGGCTGACACCATGGCAAAGGAAGCTGCTTGAGCCCCCTCCTTACCGTCAGGCCCTACTGATGTGGGAAGGGTCCCTGAATCAGATTCAAACTAAACATTCTCAGTCAGAAGTAAAATGGGCTCTCTCCCACTCTCCCACAGTGTCAGTTCCTTCCATCAGGATGGGCACAATCAGAGGATGGTAAACTGTCTGGTGCTAATCAGTGGAAAGGTTACTATTAAGTGTTTACATCAAAGCTTCCACTTGGATTTTTTGTTTTGTTTTGCAGTACCTTGAGCTTGCGAGGCAGGCGCGGCATCCCTGAGCTAAATCCCTGGCCTCAAACTTCCACCGGGAGAGAGACCAAGTCCACCAGGTGACCTCAGGGTTATTCACAGGAAAGGGGCTCTCTAGCTCATACAGCAGTTAATACATGTGAGCTCTGCCAAAAAACAATTCTCCTAACCAGACCTCCATGGGTGCAGAGAGGCAAATATCCTGGGGAGGGCTGGCAGCTTCATTTTACCCATGTGCCAAAAAGTAAAGGAATCCAATACCCACTGATCTGGGTAGACACTTTTACTAATTGGGATCAGCTTTTCCTTTCAGAACAGAAAAAGTAAAAAGACAAAAAACCCCAAAAACCCAAAACCAAAACAGAACAGAAAAAGTATGAGGTGGTGAGGGTTTTGCTCTCAGAAACCATCCCCAGGGCCAGGCGTGTAATCCAGCACTTGGGATGCTGAGCCAGGAGGATCCCTGCAAGTTTGAGGCCAACCTGGGATACAGAATGAGTTCAAGGCCAGCCCGGACTAGGTATGGAAACCCTGTCTCAAAAAATAAAAATAGAGGGCCGGGGATTTAGCTCAGTGGTGCCCCCACCTGTCTCGCAAGTGAAAGGTCCCGAGTTCAATCCCTGGTACCAATAAATAAACATTAAACCAAAAAACCATCCCCAGACATGGACTTCCTAAGAGCTTACAGTGATAATGGGCCTTCTTTTAAAGCAGCAGTCACACGGGGTGTCTCTCAGGCACTCGGTATTTGCTGGCACCTTCACTGTGCCAGAAAAGGCCAAAAGATGAAAGAAACCCTAAAGGGAAACCTTCCTAAAATGGCCCAGGAAACACCTACAGTGCCCCAGTCTACCACCTCCAGCTCTCATTAAAGATGTACAACTCAATCTCTAGGCCTCTGTCCTTTTGAGATGCTAAATTGGACGCCCTTTTCTCACTAATGATTTTCACATCCATAGAGAAACAGATGCCTTGATTAGAGACATCACCTCACTGGCTGAATCTGACAGACTGTTAACCACAAACACTCAGCCTGAAAATGGGGAATGCAGCTGGGTATGGTGGCGAACACCTGTGATCCCAGCACTCGGAGGCCAAGACAGGAGGACTGCTTCAAGTTCAAGGACAACCTAGGCTACATTGTAAGTTCCTAGCCTTTACATGGCTACAAGGCAGAAGTGTCAAAAATACTGACCAACCCGCACACTTACGTTGACAATACAGTCTAGGTGTGTGGTGTTTTACTGCTGTGATCATGTGGCTGCTACCTTTGTCCCCTCCCTGGGACTAGAGGCTGTCATGCACCACAGCAAGGCCTTGACTATACTCAAGGGGCCCTAGACGACACTTTTAACTTCTCCATTCTAAATAAGAAGTCAGATCAATGAGGCAAACCATCTTCCAGAATCAGGCGGCTTTAGACATCGGAACAGCACCACGAGGGGAGGCCATGCAGTTATAAAAGGGAAATGTCGTGCACTTCCTTAGGCCAGCATCTCCATGGCTGTCTAAGATATGAGACCAGAACTTAAGGCCAGGCCCCAAAGCTCCTCCTCCCCCTCTGTGGGAGGTGTCACTGACTCTTCCCGTGGGAACATCTATTGAGCATATTAGTAAGTCTTGCCAATCTCCTTACAGATAAGCTAGTTAATGGTGCCCACCACACACCCTTGCCTCGGGCCTTGCTTTCCTCCAGATGAGTATTAGCTAAGTGACTATCCTGTACTTGTGCTTCTATAGGTGGTAGGAGTTTGACCCCTAGTCCCCACCTGGGATTATGGGTCTAAAATATCGCTGACAAAGAGCCTCAGCAGCCAGTCAGAACTCCCGTCTCAGGAGCTTTCTTTCAACAAACCTTTCCTACTCGTAACCTTTATCCTTGATCCAGTATCAGAAGACACAAACTTGGCACGTCTAGCATCCATCTATCACGTTGGGAGCCAGTTCCCTATGCCAATTTTAAGTTGATTTTGTACATGGTGTGAAATAAAGGTCCAATTTCATTCTTCTGTGTATGGATATACAGTTCCTCAGCATCATTTATTTGGTTTTTTGAGACAGGGTCTCAGTATGTAGTGCAGACTGGCCTTGAACTCAGTATGTAGTCCAGGCTGGCCTTGAACTTGTGGCAATCTTCCTGCCTCAGCCTTCCAAGTGCTGGGATTACAGATGTGCGCCACCATGCCTGGCTCTTTAACTTTTGAGATAGGGTCTTGCTGTGTAGCCCAGGCTTGCTTTGAACTTGCTGTGATCCTCCTGCCTCAGCCTCTTAAGTGTTGGCATTGCATGTATGCACCATTGTGCCTGGCTCTCAGTATCATTATTGAAGACCACTTCTTCCCAGTGTTCTCGGCACTTTTATAGAAAACCCAGTGCCAGTGTGTTCGTTTGTTTCTGGGCTTTTTCTATGCACACAGGAGAGGGACGGGGTGGAATCCAAGGCCCATTCACCACTAAGTACTCACTCTGGCCGTGGCTACACCCGCACTTGCAGACTCTGGATCCTGCACTTTCCAGTGTTTCTGAGTTCTGGCCACTTTTGCTGCAGTCTGTAGGGTTTTCTTCGTGTAAGATCATCTTGTCAGCAGACAAGAGGCCCTCACTCTCTCCTTTCCCACGTGGACAGCTTCTGCTGCTTCCTCTTTTCTGACTGCTCCCAGCTAGGACCCCAGGTGCTGTCAACCAGCAGTGGCACAAGGGGCACTCCTGTCACGTTCCTGACCTTCCAGGAAGACCTTTCAACCTCTCACCAGAGCATGCCTTAGCCATGGCACCTATTCCCTTTTGTTTTTTGCAGATACAATCTCACTATGTCATTCAGGCTGGCTTGGAACTCGAGATCCTCCTGCCTCAGCCTCTCAAGTGCTGGGACTAAAGGTAAGCACCACCATGCCCAGCTGACTCAAGTATTTTAAAATCTAAGAAATACTGGCCCTGTGATCAAGTAGCACAGTACTTCCTTCCCACATCCACGCTCCCTCCTCCCCCAACAGCAGTGCTTCGGCTGAGACAGAAGAGCAGAGCTGGCTCTTCTGGAGCGCATCCTGGCCTTCCTCTGAGACCATCTAGGAGGCTCCAGTTCATTCTATCCCTGTTCTGGTCTCCAAGGTGTCAGCCCCTCACAGCACCAATGCCCACTGCAAAGAACACAGGATTTATTAATGACAACTCATCATCGACAGCACTGATTCTGAGAAAACAACAGACGAGGAACAACAGAGGACTGGCACTGACCCTCTGGACTGAGGCCTGCGGCTCCACACGGCCCAGCCTGCCTGTGGGGGGCAGCATCCCTCAGAAGTCTCAGGCACTGTGACTCTGCAGACCCCGAGTCCTAGGCAGAATCAGCCAGGCCAGGTCCCTGGCCCAGGCAGTGTCCCGAAGAGGAGCAGCTCCCCCAGTGCAGAGGCCCTGGGATGGCGCACTGGTCTCGGCTCTCCCACTGGAGCAAACTGATGCTGTGATTCTAGTAGCACGGTCCCAGGAAGGAAGCCAGGGGCAGGCCAGAGGGAATGGATCAGTGTCCCGGGCAGTGTGTGCTGGGTCAGGTGGCCCACACCGTGGGCTGTGGAGGTCAAAGCTGGGCTCGAGCCACCAGCTGATAAGCTGTGGGAGAGGGGCCACCTGGCAGGACTGTCCGCGCCGCCCCCAATCTGGGTCCGGCCAGGGTACAAGCTCTCTGGTCCCCTCACACTAGCTCCAGCACAGCTCATGGCCAGGACCTGCTGGGATCCAGGAGGCCCCGAGGCAGGGGAAGGGAGATGTCCACACTGACCTTGGGGAAAGAGGAGACCGTGCCTGTAACTCCTCTCTTCCTTCCCCACCACTTCCCCATCCTCAAAGCACTTGCCAGTCTGCAATAAATAGGCAGGAGTCTGAATAAATAGTAAAAACCTCCCGAGTCCTGTGCTGGGAGAGAAGCGGCGAGAAGGCAAGGGCAGAGTCCTGGCCATCCGAGGAGAGCCTGGCCCAGGTGGCTCCAGGGTAACAGCGCTGCAGGGCAGGCTCCTGACGACCCGTCTGGCGCCAGGCTCAGTACCCTGCCCTCCAGACCTGAGCCACCTGCCCTGTCACAGGCGGCTCCTGCACCTGTGGCTGCCCTGTGGGGCACAGGGCACACCAAGGCCCTGATGGGCTCTCCTGGATCCAAGGTGCAGGCCACAAGCTCCGCTCCACCGGGCCAAGAGACTTCCTGGGTCCCCAGCTGCCCTGTGAGGAACTCGTACAAGTGGGCTGGGACCTAGAACCCAGGTGGACGACAACTCTTGGCGGCACCTGATGCCATCAGGTCCTTTCCTTCGAGACAGGAGGGCTCTGAGGGAGCCTCTGGACGATCCACTCTCCACCTTCTTCCTCTCCCATCCCAGGGAGGACACAGGCGGGAGGTGCACAGCTTCATGGGCCACCACCCTCAGCAGTTGTGGGTTTCCAGATCTCGTGGCAGGAGAGGCACTAGAAGTCCTTCCCAGGCAGCCAGCCTGGTGCCTTGGGCAGGGCTGGAACAGGAATGTGGAGGCCAAGCTGACCTCTGGGGGGCCTTGCTGAGCCACAGCCCTCATTCTGCCTCTGGGCTTCCTGGGAGTGGAGGAGGGGAGGCAGGAAGAGGCTCCAGATAAGGCACCCCGAGACAGAAAGGCAGAGGGGGACCAGTGGAGGAGGAGTCCCAGCACCCCAGCAAAGAGGTGCAGGGAGGCAGAGGTAGAGACAGAGAAGGGGAAGCCGGACCCTAGAGGGACCCAAGACACCCTGACCCACCCGAGCGCACTCGGACACACCGGGGATAGACCTGTACACACTCCCCAGCAACACACACACTCGGTGGAGACAGGGTGGGACCTGGGCCTGGAAGTCACTTAGCTCCTTTGGTGTCACTCCCCATGGAGAAGCCTGAGCACCAAGCCCCAGAACTGGTTTCCGGCCCATTTGCCAAGCACCCCCTGACCAGCACCCAGGAGAAGCCCGGAAGCAGGGAGAGATGAGGAAGGTGGCAGAGCAGAGGCAGGGAGGGGACCCTGCCAGCCTCCCTCTGCCGGGAGCGGCCCCTGACCCTGCTCCACAGCCAGGCAGAGGGTCCCAGAGCCGAGAGCAGGGGGGACACCAGGGCTTGGTGGCTGAAGGAGACGGAGCAGTGCGCCCTGGAGGGCGCAGCCTGGGGGCAGAAGCCAGGCAGACTCTGCACCTGCAGCAGCCCTGTGGGCCAGCGACCCCAGCAGCTTCCCAGACTCCAGCACACGGGGCAGCGGCTGCTCTCCCAAACCCGCCTCTCGCCACCAGGCTACTTGGAGTCCTGGAGTTCCTTGGCCTTCTGCAGGATCTGGCAGACGTCTGTGATGGGGTAATCCTGGCACGGGGAAGGCCAACAATGTGCCCCTGCCACAACTCACCCTCCCCACTGGGACCTGTCACCACGCTGCAGGCCCCAGACACCCTGTGCACCCTGCACTACCAACCAGCCCAGACGTGACAGCCTGAAGGTCTCAGGCTTTCCGGGACCGAGCCCACTCTGCCTGTCTCCCGAGGGTCACACTTGCCCGGGGCCCGATGTGGGGCTTAGCAAGTGCCTGAGCTCTCTATGTCCTCCCTGTAGCCCTAGGAAGCGCTGCTGTGATGGTCCTGTTTTAGAGACCAAGTTTACAATGTCACTAAGGAGAAATCCTAGGCCAGGCGCTGGGGAAGAAACAGCCCTCGTTAACCGCGGGCCTCCACCTCCCAGGTCTGAGCGCCACACCTGACGGCCTGGGCCCTGCTTTGGCACCGCTGCTCCCTGGCTGAGCTGACTGTGGACAGTGCACAGCTTCGAGGCCAAGCCTTAGCTCAAGGGCACACGACACTTGAGGCCAGAGGGCTGGAAGTCCGAGACCCTACGCCCTGGCTACCCGCTCCTGCCCTGGCCCCAGCTCGAAGGGGCAGGTGGTGGTGTCGGCTTCGTGGCTGAGGCCGGGCTCCCCTGAGCACCCTCACCTGCAGGAGCCGCATGTTGACAGTGAAGTCCCCTTCCAGCAACTGCTCCCGGATCAGGCTGCGGGGGGAACAAGCGGCTGAGGTGCTGGGCTCCAGGCTGCGCCCCTGCCAGCCAGGCCCCTCCGCCCCTCCTGGCCCCTGGCATGACTAGGTGTCGCTCCTCGAATTCAGACCCGCCCTCTGGCCACAAGGCAGCAGCCCCTGCCCACTGTCGGGCCCAGGCCACTCACACGAGCATGGCACAGCAGACGAGGAGGAGGAAGTCAAAGCGGCTGTCATCGGCGAAGAGTGAGTCCCAGATGCGGATGACGTCCGGCAGCAAGAACTCCTGGGACAGCAGCAGTGTGAGCCAGCGGAAGGCAAAGAACTGGGGCTTGATGTTCTGCTCTTGCTGGGGAGACACCAGGGGGCTGGTGTGGTGGCCTGCCAAGTGCTCCCGGCAGCCACTGGGGAGGGGTCAGCTGGTGGAAGTGTCAGGGACATGGAGGGGTGGCGCTGAGCCACCCAGAAAGCCCCACTCCCGTGAAGGGGCAGCTGGGTCTGCTGCCAGCCAATGCTATCAGATCTGACTTTTTCAGAGCTGCCACATTTAGAAATGATGGCTCCAACTCTTCTAAAACACCATGTAGATTATAACCTTGGATCCGAGGACACGCACAGTGACGTCATCGGCAAGTTCAAAGCATCCTCCTTCCCTTATTTACCATCTACTGACCCTGCGGGGCATCTGCCCCCAACAGAGGTGACCATCACTAACTGACGAGAGCGTGGCACAAAGCAGCAAATGATGTGCCGCGTTTATTTGAAGAAGACACACTGGTATGTTGTTTTTTTCTCATAGCACTGTTTCTATGTCAATATACATCTTTTACTGACTTGCTTTCTGAAATAAATACAGAATGTCACTACAGCAATTTTCAAAAATGAAGTGACTGCCTGTTTTTTGTTTGAAAGTTTGAGACAGGGTCTCGCCATGTAGCCCAGGCTGGCTTTGAATTCACGGTGGCCTAGTCTCTCCCGGCCCCTGGCCAGTGTGGCTGGCCCAGGCGCCGGGTCCTCACCAGTTTCAGGTAGAGCTCTACATCCTTCTCCTTCAGGGTGGAGTACACTTTCTCCATCTTGTAGGTGATGCCACACTGCGAGTCGTCCAGGCTCTTGATGAAGTTGTCCCGGATCTCGGCCATGAGGTTGGTGAAGCAGAAGAAGGTGTCTGCCTCGGCGTGCTCTGGGTGTGTGAAATGTCACCTCCCAGTTACCACGGGACCCTTCCCCCATCCCAAGCCCCTACTCTAACAGCATGGCTGAGTCCCTCTGTCCTTGGTCACCGTCCACCCCAGACTAAGGACCTCATTGTGTTCTCCCCATCTGAAGCGGTCCCCTCCCTCAGCATCCGGTCACGCCCTCCAGTGACATTTCGAATTGAGGTTTCAATCTCATCTCTCAGCCTCCTACAAGCATGCCTCAGCCCTTCTACCAGAGATCAGGCTCTGTCCAGATCGGCACCCCAGAAGGCAGAGCTGGAAGGGCTGAGACCATCCGGGCCTCTTCTCCTCTGCCAGAGGAGGCTGGGGACCTGGGGGTCACAGCCCCGCAGCCCCTTTGTAGGTGGCCTGTCTCAGCCTCTCTAGGGAGGCAGCCATGGGGCTCAGGGCACCCAGCACCCGGCTACCTTTCCATTCGCTGTTGGGGTCGGTGGCGAACGTGTAGTAGAGCGGCCCCACGATCTCATTCATGCCCTGCACGTAAGCGATCCCTGGGTTGAGCTTCGCGTAGATGAACAGGATCCGCTCCACCACCTCCCAGTGCGCCTCGCAGCCGTTGGGCAGCACCTCGTACTTGTTCAGGGCTGGCAGTGCGGCATTCTTGTGCGGGGAGCTCATCTGGGGGGAGGGCAGGGCCATGAGAGGGGCCAGCTTCCACGCTAGGCCCAGGCTCAGCCTCGGCTCGTGGGAAAGACAGGGCACAGGGGAGCACGTCAACACCACCAGGACAACAAGCAGCACTCTCCTCGAGTGACAGGCTGACATCAGCTTTAGGAGCTAAAGCCGGGCACGGATGCCTTGTGCAGGGAGGGGGACTGAACAGGAAGGGAAGGAGTTTTTTGGATGATGAAATGTTCTGTGCCTTGACCCTTATGAAAACACAGTATGTTTTGCTTCACGTAAGTTACACATCAATTTAAAATGAAATCTTTAAATACTTTTTTTTGGTACCAGGGATCAAACTCAGGACCTTGCACTTGCGAGGCAGGCGGCAGCACCAGTGAGCTAAATCCTCGGCCCCAAAATGAAATCTTTAAATAGACAACTGGCCCAGACTCCTCAGAGGTAAGCTGGCCGAGTGTGATGGTGCACACCCGTAATCTCAGTACTCAGAAGGCTGAGGCAGGAGGATCCCCACAAATTCAAGGCCAGCCTAAATTACCTGAGATCCTGTCTCAACCCCAGCCCGCCAAAAAAGTCAACTGTTGGGGTTGAGAGTGGAGACCTGTTCCAAAACAGGAAACTGAAGAAACAGCGTAGCCCTTACCTGGATCTTAGTTTGGAATATACCAATAAATTCACTTTTTTTTGGTGGGGGGTTCACTGGGAACTGGTCTTCACACCAAGCTACATCCCCAGCCCTTGTTTTACTTTTTGAGACAGGATCTTGCTAAGTTGCCCAAGCTGGGCTCAAACTTCTAATCCTTCTGCCTCGGCCTCTGACTGCTAGAACTACAGCTGTGTACCACCACACCCAGCTTTTTTTGTTTCTTTGAGACAGAGTCTTACTATGTCACCCAGACTGGCCTCAAGCTCTCAGCAATCCTACTGGCTCACCTTCCACAGTGCTGAGATTGCAGGCATGTGCCACCATGCCCGGCTAACAAAGGGCACAACTGGCATAGCAGAGGGCATCCCAGCTGCTGTCAACCCTGCCCTGGGTATTAAGCGATGTTTTGGAACTATTTCCAGTCTCAGCCCCGAGTGCTGGCATTACAAGTGTGCACCACCACGCCTGGCTCAACATCCTCTGTCACTTGCTAGATGTCTCCCTTGTGCTTAGCCTGGCTGACTCCAGAGCCCATATTCCAGGTCTGGTGGACAGGCCTCAAGGATGCCCAGGCTTCCCCTCTATCTGCCCTCCATGGCCTCGCTCCATCCTCCAGGCAATGCCACAGCCAGGCAGGGCCTCCAAGGTGATGCCCAGCTTGTGGGCAAGGGAACAGGGGCCCGGAACACCAGCCTGGTATTCCTCGCTGAGTGCCAGATGGCGAACTTCAACTCTGATGCCCAAGCACTGGTCCAGAGGCCCAGGGACAAAGCATCTTGGGGGTTCTCTCCCACCAGGATCAGATGGAGAGGTTACAGTGGGTCAGAGCTCTGCCCTGGGACTCAACTTCTACAGCGGAAGAAGTGATTCAAGCCTGTCCCTGCCTGGCTGGCCCTTCAGCCATCCGAGTGGCTGCCCTCAAAGCAGCCTGTGGCACCACTCAAGCCCTGGCACCTCAGGCAGCTCTGCAGGACCCGAGGCCAGCCAAAGCTTCAAGGAGCTGGGGTCGACAGGGTCTGCCTTGCTGTGCTGGGTCACAGTTTCCCCTGGGGGGAACGAGCCTCCATGGTTCTGTCTGCCTCCAATAGGGGAGGCCACAAGGAGACACTCCCCACTCCACTGACAGGGACAGTGACAAGGTTTGGGCCACAGGCTACCATCCCAGGTACCAAGGCAGTTGGTATAAATGTCAAAGAAGGGAACACACAGTCAGTCTACGAACAGCCTCTCCAGAGGTGCAGAGATCTGCAAGACTCTGGAGCTCCAACCACAGGATCTGCCCAGCTGTTACCTCCAGTTCCTGAGTGTCCCAGACCTGTCCCTGCTGCACCCGGCCCCTCCTACCTCCCACCTTGATTGACCGCAGCCACTGTGCTGCTCCCTGCACTCTCTCACGCTGCAGTCACTTGCTCAGAGCCATTGCTACCTCATGACCAGAAGTGGCAGCACCATGAGCCTCTGCCACTACCTCCGGGAGGGTGCTTTGGGTGACGCTGGGGCAGATGGTCAGGGTGGAGGCAGCCAGGGGCTTCAGGTGGAAGGAAGGGAACGGGTGTTGGGGAGTGCCGGGGCTCTTACATTTGTGACCCCACTCCGGTTCCGGGCCACTGTCTGGGATTTCAGAGTCGTCTGCTCCACTCGCTTGCGAAGGGTCTCGAACTCATTCTGGGGGTCCAGGATGAGGAGGCAGGGGTACTCGGTGGCCCTCTGGAAGAAGGATATGTCTGGGCACAACCTCCTGTCAAGAGGGAACCAGAGGATGCGGCCATTCCACCAGCGCCTGCGGCCCAGGAGCAGCATCTGGGCGACTGCTTTTAACCATAACATGTTATCTAAGAGTCAGTGTGATTTTCTTTTTTTTTGGTACCAGGGATCAAACTTGGGACCTTGCGCTTGCGAGGCAGGCGCCGGAACCACTTAATGTGATTTTTTAAAAAGGAACAGTCATTGGGCATGGTGGCACATGCCTCTAATCCCAGGGAGGCGAGGCAGGGGATCACTGTGAGTTTGGGGCCAGCTAGGGCTACACAGTAAGTTCAAGGCCAGGCTCAACTACGAATGGAAATCTCATCTCCAAACACCAAACCAAGAAGCAACAGTCATTGTATGCGATACACCCACATGTTATACAGATTTACAAAGAGATGCGTTCATACATGTTTTTTAAAGTATTATGTTTATGGTCACACAACCTAACCATTCTCTTAACCCTCAAACATCTCTCTGTGTCAATAGCACCTGTCTGAGGGCCAGGGATTGAGCTCAGTGGTTCCGCCATCACCTGCCTTGCAAAGCAAGGTCCTGAGTTCAATCCCCCTACCAAAAAAAAAAAACAAAACACCCGTCTGAGGCTGGGGATGGAGTTTAGTGGCACAGCACTCACCTAGTGTGCAGGAAGCCTGGGTTCAATCCCCAGCACCAAAAATTAAAAACAAAAAATATGCGTAAGGTTGTAACTGCAATGCCGTTTGTAACGGTCAAAGAGCTGGGGCTGGGCCGGGGATTAGCTCAGTGGTTTTGTCACCTGCTGCACAAGCTCAAGGACCCAAGTTCGATCCCCAGCACCCTCACTCAGAAGAGCTGGGGTTAAGCTACAGTGTCTACTCTGTACGCTCTGTACGCTCCATCCTGACGAGGGAGAGACTCTGAGAGGAAGAGCCAGCCGCAGATGGCCTCTAGCCGTGACCAGACACCATTTCTCCAACTCCTCCTGCACAGCGCCTCACACACCTCCTCTCTGCAAACACGGCATGCTCTACCACCCTTGCCACAGTCCCCAGCCCTCCCCAGAGCCACCGAGGGATGAGGCTTGTGACTGAGGCTGGCCACCCTACCTCACAGGAGGCAGGAGCCTCTTTCCCTGGGGTCCCAGGGCCATGCAACAGGGGCCCCGGCAGCAGCGTGGCATGGGGGGCAGGGCTCCTTCCTCTGGAGCTGCTGCTCCACTTCCTGCAAGGCTCACGCTGTCGCCTCCTCTAAAACGGAGGTCCCCCACCTCGGTCGGAGCACACACTTGGCATGTGTGTGCCTCCATGTTTGTGCACAGCCTGAGCATCTGGCCCTCGGGTGGCCAGAGGTGCTTCTGGTCTGGTCACTCCTGGCCCTGTTCACAGCCCCTGCCTGCCCAATGGCAGCAGACTCCCCTGGCACCAACGCAGTGCCCTGGAAACACTTAGGGGCAGTAATACATCATGCGGGACAGAGACTGACCAAGGAGAGGGGGCCGCAGAAGGGCTCTGAAGGGGCTGTGGAGAACAGGAAGAGCTCCCGGGACCCCTCTGCAGCAGCGACCTGGCACATGAGGGGCCTCCGCACAGTGCTAGGACTGGCACACCTTTCCCAAGCACCTGAGAAGGTCCAGGCCCCTCTATGCCCTTAGCCTGCACCCTCTTATTCCTACGTCACAGATAAAGACAGACCAGAGAGCAGCAGTCACCTGCCAAGGTCACACAGCTAACTAGTTGAGAGCCGCACTGGAGAGCAGATGAACAGACCCCAGAGCTCTAGGCCACCCCACTGCCCTGGGGACAAATCTCCCAGGAGGTTCCCCTATTTCTTTCCCAAGGAAGAAACACACGTTGTAGCTCATACTTTTTTTTGGTACCAGGGATTGAACTCAGGACCTTGTGCTTTCGAGGCAGGCAGCAGAACCAATGAGCTAAATCCCCCGCTGTTCACACTTTTTTTTTTTGGTACCAGGGATCAACTCCAGTCCTTGGCTTTCGAGGCAGGGGGTGGAACCACTGAGCTAAATCCCCAGCCCTTCACACTTTTAAAACACTAAACATCTGACCTTGCCACTCCTCCGCCTGAAACCTGTGCTCGACTGCGTCCGTCTGCCATGCCCTTGGGATCAAGTCCAAGGGCCCTCCTTCCTACTCGGCCTTGGGGAGGGCTCTGGGGCTTCCCACCGGCAGCACCTGTCCACCAGGGCCTGTCTCTCACTCTGCCCAAGGCTCTGCCCCCAGGATCTCAGCTGGTGCGCTGCTCTCCCAACCTTCCCCAGGCACCCAGCACCTCCTCCAGGGCACCTCTCTTGAGTGCCGGCTGAACGAAGATCTCAGTGGGCCGCAGTCACCTGGTGCCTGCCTCTCCAGGACAGGGGCCGAGTCTGTCCAGCACTCAGCCTTGAGCCTCCTGAGCCTGGGATATGCAGAGCGGGGACTCCACAGGGCGCAAGGGGCACTCCGATAAATCCACAGGCCAGGGCCAATTAAACAAGGCTTGGACAAGGGGAGCCAGGCTTGCACGGCCCAGGTGGGAACCCAGTGCAGGACCACACCCCAGCAGCACCACAGACGCCCGCCCTAGGGGCCTGGGCCAGCGCCAGCCCCTGCCAGCCTCTTACCGGACGTCTTTGTCGATCTGCAGCAGCACCTCATTGTCCTTGAAGTACGTGTTCCACCGGCTGTCAGGGTTGGGGTTGAGGGGCTGAGGGAAGAAAAGCAGCTGCTTGGCACAGACTGTTCTTTTTTCTTTCATTTTTGCAACAGGGTCTCACTATGTAGCCCAGGCTGGCCTTAAACTTGCAGTGATCTTCGTGCCTCAGCCTCCCAGTGCTGGGATCACAGGCTTGTGCCACTACATCTGCCTGCCACAGACCATTCAACCATTCTTTCCACCCACTGCTCTGGCTCCACAACTCTGCATGTAGCAGGTGCTCACTAAATGCCTGCTGAATGAACGCTCCATCATTTCACCTCTTCAAGCTTCATTCACCAGCGCTGTGTCACTGACTCCTATCCCCGGAAGCGGTGGGCCACCCCTCTGGCTGTGCTGGGTGGCATCTGGGGAGGAGCTCAGCGATGGAGGACAGGATGGGGCTTGCTTCAAGCCAGCCAAGCAGTTTAGACTCCCCCCTGTCCACTCCAATGCTTCAACTACACGACTGCAGTCCCTGCCTCAAGGAACAGGGCCGAGGGCTGAGGGGCGGCTGGCACAGGGCTGCCCGGTGCACTCCAGGATGCTGGGTACTGTGTGCTCCAGGCCAGGAAGGGCCCCTGCATCAGCCTGTGCCTGGGGCTGGCAATACCATGCAGAAAGGAGGAGCTGGCAGGGTCAGAGGGAATGGAAACCAGACTGCCCCCTCTGTACACTCACGTGGTCCTCGAAGGTCACATCCTCCCTGGATGCTCCCATGTTGGCCTTGGCGATGCCAGGCTGGATGATCATTTCCCTCAGGAACTGGGCATAGACCTCCCTGGGGGAGGAAGAGGAGAGAGGCTGACACCCGAAGGCCTAGCCAGGAGAAGCAGCAGCAGGGGCCCCGATGGACTCGGTTCTGCCGACCCTGGCCTCCCGTTCCCAGCCGCCCTCGGCCTTACCTCTGTTTAGCCAGGACGGTTGTCCATGAGGCTCTCTCCGAGGGGAGGTAGTTCAAGAGGATCTGTGCAGAGGACAGCGGCACAGCTCTGGCACTGCCCCACCCCAGCCAGGGGCCCAAGCAGGCTTCAGGAAGCCCCGAGCAGGCAAGACGGCCGAGGGCCAGGACGCAGGCCGGCACTGGGCAGCCTCCCTTCCCGGCCGTCTTATCCCATGCCGGCCTTTTCCTCTGCTTTCCCTCACACAAACTCTTCGGAATGGTAAGAAAAGCGGGAAGCCAAGGGGCCGGGTACTGAGGCTTGGGTTTGCACCGCCCCCTGCTCGGAGCTTCACACAGCACAGCACGTGCTTTGTACCAGTGGGTACCCACCCGGTCTGCCCCAGGTGCACCCGGAAGTAGGCGTCTTCAGTGGCAATACAGTGGCCCATCCCCAAGGGCATCCTGGCGAGGACGCCGACAGGACAGAAAACCCAGACCTTCCCAGGCCAGCTTCCTCAGGCAAGCAGGAGGTGTGGGGCAGGAGAGAGGCTGGAGTAGGGTAGCCCATGCAGGACCCAGGACAGAGAGCGTGGGGCCCAGCCCAGGCACACCCACCTTCCAGCAGAGGCACCGAAGTCCGCCCTCACAGGGGATGCCTGTGGACAAGCAGGCAGAGGTCACCCCACCAGGCCCAGCACCCCCAGCCCTGCACCTGGAGCCAGCTGGCAGGGAATGGCGCGGGCAAGTTTTCCACCAAAGAGATGGCTAAGCTGGATGCTAATTCTGTGTGTAATTTCTGTCCCTGGCCCCAGCTCTCAGACCGGAGGGGTCTTGTCTCGAATGTTCTGGGTTTGTTTGGTTTTTTCTTTTGAGACAAGGTCTTGCTATGCAGTTCAGGCTGGCCTTGACCTTACTACGTAGCCCTGGCTGGCTTCCAATTTCCAGAGTTCTTTTTGCCTCGGCCTCTCAGTGCTATAATAACAGGCATGCGCCACCATCTTGGCTCTAGAATGTTCTTTTGAAGATCACACCTTCTTCTGATGCTTGATACTCCTTCCCCGTGGAGTCATTACCAGCCAACAGCTCTGCCCAATCTAGATCAGGTTCCCCATTTGTAAACAATAAAGGCCCTGAGACCGCTTCTTAGCACCACCACAACTGGAACTACATAATTTGTGTATTAATTTAATGTGTGTCACCACTACCACTGGGTTAGTCCCAGGAGAACAAGAACCACATCTGCCTGTTATTTCCAGGGCCTAGAACAGTGCACAGCACACAGAAGGGATTCCATTAGTCCCTGAAGAATAGAAATTAAGCTCTGAGGCCAAATGCTTTGGGCTTTACAGATGTCGCTTCATCCACTCCTCCCGTTAGCCTCCTAAGTAGGAAAAATAACCATCACCATCCTCGGTTTACTGATCTATAAAGACACAGCACCAGGGATGGAAACACATGTCTGACTCAAGAACCAGAACGTTTTTTTTCTGTACTGGGAATCAAACTCAGAGGTGCTCTACCACTCAGCTACAGCCCCAGCCCTATTTTTTTATTTTGAGACAAGGTCTCACTAAATTGCCTAGGAACTTGTGTTCCTCCTGACTCAGCCTCCCTCAGTGCTAGGATTACAGGCCCACACCACTGCGTCCAGCTTTTTTGCCACTAACCACATGCTGCTGCTTCCCTTTTCCGGCCTAAGTATTACTCCAGAACAGGAAGGCCAGTGTCTCCTGCAATACCCAGAACTGTACAAGAGCAGCGGTTGGACGGTTTGCCCGGTACGGGGAATACAAGCTAGTGTATTCAAAATGCACATGGGGGTGGAGGGGACGACTTAACTCCTTGAGGGCAGAGACACAAGGGCAGGGCAGTGACAAGGAGCTACACAAACACTGAAGACAATACAAATACCTTAAAGGCAGCCAAAAATCAGGTTATCTCTGAGTTGGAATAAGATTAAGCAAGCCAGAGGGCAAAGTCAAACAGGGCCAAGGTTCAGCTCCTTAAAGTCGTTATTCTAAGGCCAGAATTTACCATTAACCAAAGATCACTTAGTCAGCATTGATTCCAACCTTGGGTGAAAACCAGGAACAACCCTGTAGCTAATGAAATTCCTTAACACAAGAAGGCAGCTGAGAAATGAGGAAAGGCTTGACCCAGGCTCAAAGCCTTTCCATTCTTGGGCCAGGTGTGGTGTGGCAAGCCTGTGATCCCAGCACTCAGGAGGCTGAGACATGAGGATAGGATTGCTGTGTGTTCAAGGTCAACCTGGACTATGTAGTGAGACCTTGTCTCAAAAAATCAAAAGCCAAAACAAAGTCTTCCCATTCTCGTTCTCCTGACTTCAGTCCTTTCCTGTGATGCTCAGGAACCTCACGCCTCCCTGCCTAAGGCCTAACTGTGGCCTCCACTTCTCCGGGAAACTCCTCTGAGATGAGGACAGCTCTACTCAATCTGCAGCAGGCTCCAAGGGTCACCGTGACCCCCAGAACAGGGCAGATGTGGCCCTGGGCATCTTGCCCTCCCCCTAGGCCATTAACATTGTTCTAGGGCAACCTTAAAAGTGCAGGGTGGGAGGAGGGGGAGGGGATGTAGCTCAGTGCAGCATCTGCCTGGCAAGCAAAAGGTCCTGAGTTCAATTTCCGGTACTGGGAAAAGAAAAAGTGCAGAGTCGCCCCTTACCACTAAAACTGAGTTCCCGCAACTTCTCTAATGCAATCAAGGGCTCTCTCAGGACATCTTGGAAATCTGCGATCCTAGAAAGGACAGAAAGAGGCAAATGAAGCCATCCAAACCCCAAAACAAGCAGCTCAGTGACCAATTCTGCAGCTCACAGCCCCTTTACCACCAGCCTCCAACCCGAAGCTTTAGGGAAGTAGAGAGCTACGGACATTTCTTCCTTTAAGCCTAGAAACGTTGGGTGCCTTATGATATTCTCCTCTAGAGGTTCTCAAATACGCACCATAAAATTAAGCATCTTCTAACAGTGAGCCGGCATTACTAGGCACTTTCATGCTGGCCAGGGGCAGCCCACAGCCTCGCCACTACTCGAACTCAACCAATTCTAGGAGCCAGGAGTAACTTGACCTGCAGCCTTCGGACCAGTGCAATCGGGCCACAGCTCTCCTTGCTCAAGAATGTAACCGTTAAAACATCTCTGGGCTTGCCCTCAAACAAGGACAAAAGGCTTAAAAAGAAAATAATTCCCGAGGGAAAACTGGAGGGTAAGCAAAATTTCGCCGATGCTGCAGGATCCAGCCTGGGGGGAAGAGGGCAGACTGGATAATCCAGGTTCTCTACCGCTTCTAGGAAGAAAAGGGCACAGGTGATGTGGCGCATTTGGAAAGAAGGGGTTGGGGGCAGGGGGTAAAAAGGAAAGGGAAGAGGACCCTCGTGGTCTGGATGAGGAAGACCCGGGGGGAAGGGGTCCAGGGTGGGGCAGAAAGAAGGTGCCCGAGGGGCAGAGAGGCATCTCTCCTCCAGCCCCCAGGCAATGAGGTTACAAAGTGGGGGCCGGAGCCCACTCCGCCCCGAAAAAGGGGCGCCGACCAGAAGCGCCCCGAGGACCCTTACCGGCTCTTGTGCAGACTCGACATGGTGTTGACTTCCGGGCCCCCCAGCAGCCTCCGCAGCCTCCGCCACCGCCGCCGCCGCCGCCGCCCCCCAAGGACCCGGGGCGCTGGACTAGAGCCTCCGACCGGAAACCAAACCAGGAGTCCTGCGTTCCGGGGCCAGCAGGGGGTGCTGGTCCCGCCCGCCGGTCACGTGCCGTCGCAACCAGGGCGTCGCGGGGGAGAAATGGGCGGGGCAAGAGGGAGCCCGCAGCGTGTCGCCCCGCCCCCCGCCCCGAGGCCCCTGCGGGCCAAGTTTGAGGTCCGCTGGCTGTTGCCCAAACTGTTCCCTGCGCTTCCATGGCCTGGGTTTCCATCTGCTCAATAAGCCTTTCGGCCTGTCCTTTCCCATACACATCCCGCGTGACTGTTGCAAAAACGTCTGCGTGTTGTGCTGAGGTTTTTTCTGAGACAGGGTCTCACTATCCAGTTCAGGCTGGCCTGCAACTCCCAGCGATCCTCCTGCCTCAGCCTCCTGTGTGCTGGGATTACAGGTGTGCTTCACCATGCCCCACTCCGATACTTGTTGTTCTGTATTGAGTCCCTCAGACCTACTATATCGGTGACCCACACGGACCCTGTAGCTCAGTAAGGGCTGGATAGAGAACCCGGACTGTGTTTTAGTGTTGCTTTGACTTTTGGATTTCACACACACTGAATCTCTCATTTAACCATAATTTCAGAAATATAGAAAAGGAAGACCAAGAACTGAGAAATCTGTCCCCAAAAAAGACAGTGGGCAGCCTTACAATGATTTTCTGTACAAATGACTTCATATATAATTGTTCTTATTTTTCAGATTTATCAACAAATCAGTGCAAACGTTGACCTTGGACTCTGCACCCCCCTCCAGTCTGCTGTATCTGACACACAGGTAAAAGGTAAAAAGAGACAAGGAAATCATAACTTTAAAAAATTGTACTTTTAGGGCTGGGGATTTAGCTCAGTGGTTTCGACGCCTGCTGCACCCGAGTTCAATCCCCAATACCAGAACAAAAACAAAAAATTGTACTTTTACATCTTTGTTTTTTGAGACAGGTCTCATGTAGATCAGTCTGGCTTGGAACTCGCAGCAATCCTCCTGCCTCAGCCTCCCCAGTGCTGGGATTACAGGGGTGCCTCATAATGGCTGGCCAAAAAAAAATGTAGAAGAGTCAGGACTCCTGGCCCACGCCTGTGATCCCTGGATCTCTGGAGGCTGAGGCAGGAATAACAGAGTTATAAACAATGGAATTGAGGAAGTAACTCCCTTCCATCCATTTAATTCTATTCCTGCTTCCCTTATCCTAAGAGGGGTAAAAAATAAAATAACAAAAACCCAGGAGCTCTCAGATGCTCTGCCTGAGAGCGCATGTGCATTGGGTCTCCTAGTTTGACCTTCCGGTCACTCTGCTCCCTACTCCCACCTCATTACAGGTTCATAAATATGCACTACATGCCATAAATACAACTAAGATCAGAAGGAATTCTGGGATTCCCATGAGTGTTGGGAGAACCTAAGGTGACTCAGCCCCCTATCAGTCATTCTTGTCAATCACACATACAGAGCTGGTTGTGGTGACTCAGGTCTGTGATGGGGAGCTGAGGCAGGAGGATTACCTGAGTTCAAGGCCCGCCTAGACTAAAACACCTGTCTCAGTCTGTCTCAAAAAACATACAAAAAAATAGAAGATTGTAACTTTCAGGAAGCAGCCAGTTACCCAAGGTGATGCATATCAATATTCCTTTGCTTAAATTTAGACTCTTTCCCTGCCATCACACCCAAAATTTCTCAGGAATATTAAAGTCCACAGGAAAGTAAAGAACAGTCAGGTGTAGTGCCACACGCCTGCAATCTCAGCACTCAGGAGGCTGAGGCAGGAGGATCGCCAAGTGTTCAAGGCCAGCCTGGACAACATAGTGAGACCCTCTCTCTCAAAAAAGAAAAAGAAAATAAAGAATAGAAACCTGATCCCAAGATAAAAAAGCAGGTTGAGCAAACCCAAAGAATGTCCAAATTACTGTACTTGGCCAGGTGTGGCGGCCCATCCCTGTACTCCCAGGCACTGGAGAGCCTGAGGCAGGAGGATCATTGTGTGTTTGAGGCCAACCTGGGCTATGTAGTGAGAGCCTGCCTTAAAAAACCAAAACAAGGCCCAGGGATTTAGCTCAGTGGTTTCCCCACTGGCTGCGCAAGCCCAAGGACCGGAGCTCGATCCCCGGTACCAAAAAAATAAAATAAAATAAACAAACGGGCCAGGGATTTAGCTCAGTGGCACCACACCTGCCTCAAAACTGAAAGGTCCCGAGTTCGATCACCGGTACCACAAAAAAAAAGAATGTGCAAGTTATCTACTTAAAAAACACAAAAGCCCACACATTTAAAATGGGCTCATACCCTTCAGCGGTGCCTTTCCCCAGGCTTTTCCACCCCTTTAAGGGGGTGTAGATGTTCCACTTCCAAACTGTCATGTGGCCCATTTTTGGCGCTTACTCTCCGCCCCAAGTGGACCCAGTGTCTGTGTCTGATAAACCCTTCCCCAGCCTCTTACTGACACATCCGGGAAACTCTTTTTCTGAAACAGGAGCCGCCAAACCTGCAGCAAGAGGGCAGGTTAAACTACTTATTTCAGCCTGAGGGGACCCTCGGACCCTGCAGGGTGACATGGGACATGCCCACTAGGACCTCGCTGCCCCGCAGAGCAGACACATAGCTGTCTCTTTCTCTTTTCACCCAGTGCACAAAGGGTTTTGCTCACTCTGTACCAGGGGAATTGGCTCCTGGACACCATTTCCCTCCCAGACCATACCACGCACGCTCCCTCCTGTAAAATGCTCAAGTCTCTTCCGCAAAATGGCACAGCCTTCCTGTGTAACCTGTGAACCTCCCTGTATACACCTGAGATCAGCCCCAGGTGACTTCTGCCTAATACTCATTATGCCAGGGGCCGGGGATTTAGCTCAGTGGTTCTGCCGCCTGCCTTGAAAGCCAAGGACCGGAGTTCGATCCCCGGTACCAAAAAAAAAAAAAAAAAAGAATACTTATTACCTGGAAGAATGACCAAGAGAAGAGAGCCTGGCTGTGTTTGGCACAGACACAACTTTTCCCAAACAAATTCTGCTCCACCGTTGGTTGAAGCTACAATGAGAATTGTACAGACACACTGGCCATCTATATGAAATGTTTCTGCAGAATACAAAGATTAAGTTGTTTTATACAAAAATACAAAAAGAAAGGAAAAGAACTATAGAAAAAATATAAAAAGAAAGGAAAGTTTCTGTAACTACAGAAATACAAGGAATATTTTTTCTGAATAAAAAGACTATCAGTGGGCCAGGGATTTAGCTCAGCAGTTTTGCAGCCTGCTGCGCAAGCGCAAGCACCTGAGTTTGATCCCTGGTAGCAAAAAAAAAAAAAAGAGTATCAGCCAGGTCTTTGGGGTCACAAATGGGGTGACTCGGGGTTCTCGCCATCCTGTAAGATGTGCTCTCTCAAACCATGTTAGGATAGCAGCGCATTACCCACCTAACATGGAAAACTAAAAAATAGTACCCAGTTCTTTTTCTTTCTTTTTTTTTTTTTTTTTTTTGAGAAAGGCTCTCGCTATGTAGTTGAGGCTGTCCTTAAACTCATTATGTAGCCCAGGCTGGCCTTGAACTTGGGGACATCCTCCTGTCTCAGCCTCCTGAGTGATAGGATTACAGGCATGCACCAGCCAACACACTGGACCAGCCAGTACTTTTAAAATGAGGAAAAGCACAAATGATACCTCAAGAAAAATATGGATATCTGGCTATCATTTGAAAAACAAATTCTATTCCACCTCGTGTTCGACACAAAAATAAATCCCAGTGAATGAAATCTTTGCAGGGGAAAAATCTATATGATTACAAGGAAAATACATAGAAAAATGTTTGGGCCGGGGATTTAGCTCAGTGGTTTCACCGCCTGCTGCGCAAGCGCAAGGACCCAAGTTCAATCCCCGGTACACCCCCCCAAAAAAATGTTTACAATCTCAGAGAAGAGATAAAGCCCAAAATCTATGAGAGATGAGAGCTTTATCACCAGATAAAATTTAAAACTTCTGTATAGTAAATGACAAACATCAATATGACAAAGTATTTACACTTTTTATCATAAAGACTTAGCATCCCAGGGAAGGGTAGTGGGAGTGAAGGGCACATAGGTAATGGGGAAAAAATAAGGACTAAGATACATCATATTCAGTTACAAACACCCAATGATAAATGTAAATGTATTGTATACCTGAAATGTACCAATTAATATATATATTAAAAAAAGACTTAGCATCTCTAACACATAAAAAAAGAGTTTATGTTAAAAAGAAAAAACAAACATCTTCACACAAAAGCAAAAATAATAAAAACAAGCCAGGCATGGTGGCATATGCCTGTAATCCCAGCACTCCAGAGGCTGAGGCAGAAAGATTGCCACGAGTTTGAGGCCAGCCTGGGTTACATAGTGAGCTCAAGGCCAGCCTAAACTACAAAGCGAGACCCTGTCTCAAAAACAAGAAAATATCTAGAAGTCTTTTGGTGGCGTTTTTGGGGTCTTCTATGTACAGTATCATATCATCCACAATTAATGATAATTTAACTTCTTCCTTACCTATCCTTATTCCCTTTATTTCTTTCTCTTGTGTAATTGCTCTGGCTAGTGTTTCCAGAACTATATTAAACAAGAGTGGTAACAGTGGACATCTTTGTCTTGTACCTGATTTTAGAGTGAAGGTTTTCAGTTTTTGTCCATTAGTATGATGTGTGCTATTGGTTTGTCATAGATGCCTTTTATCAGATTGAGACAAAGACCAATTTTCTGTTGGGATTTTATCATAAATTGGTATTGGACCTTGTCAAAAGCTTTTTCTGCTTCTATTGAGAGTATTGTATGGCTTTTGTCTTTAGCTCTCTTAATATAGTGTATTACATATATTGATTTGCATATGTTGAACCATC